ACCATTTCGTTTAGCGAGGATGTAGAAACACATCTTTCGCAGCTCCTTCTCCTAAATGATTTCTGGAGTAGGCGTGGGAGTACTACTCGCAGTGGTGGTGCAAGGTTTCTCAGTGTTACGCAACGATTTGGGCTCAATCGTGTTACACATAGCGGGCTGGGTAATACTCGTAGTACTCAATACTCTGATAGATGCGTTAGTATGTTTCGTAAGCTATTTTTTTCTTTCAAAAACAGACCATGGTATGGATCAGAGGTCCTCGTAAGCGAGCAATGCTCACATCCACCCAGTTTCGACGGAGGAACATAGCGGTGATGGCCGCATCAAAAGATTGATTCGAACAGTCAAATACTGGCCAAACCGATCATTTGGGATAGGCTTGTACCATCAGTGGCACAATGGCACCCAAGTTTGTTGCTGACTATAATATTACTCATTCCAGTATAATAGACAACACACCTTATACAAAGGAGGCGGGAAGAGTGTACCCGTATCATACATACGTATTCGTAGTCGCTGTTCTCGACGAGAATTTGGGCTATTCGTGATGGACAGGCTGCTGCCGTAGTGGCAAAGGCTCGAACAGCACAAAAGCTTTCTGCGAATAATAGTGTATTGATGCCCCTATGATTGAGTGTTATGTACGCAATTGCTCGCGTTCGACGTATACACCAAATCGAAAATGAAACTTGTATTCGAATTACACGTGCAGGCTGAGTCAATGAGGACAGACGGGCAACACGCAGACCACAACCCATTACTTGTCTTCAAAATAACATTATTTAGTGCACTGCATTCAACCCGTGTATAAAAATCCTTGTTCCTGGCTGTTAAGTATCACTGTTGGGTACATGTCTCAGTCTGTGGATATTTAACTGTCAGTTCACAAGTAGTCAGGTCTCTGGTCATCACTGATGCTATATATTGTATACGCTGCGCTTCGGCGACACTATCCTCTAAACAACATAGTGCGTGGGTGTATGTACTTGAACTGCCCAAAGACACGGAAACGGCAGTCACACGTTCCTACTGGTAAGGTGGATGCATCGAGTATACTCGTTCAACAAACAGCTTGGCGGCATTGTCATGCACCGCTCGCCAACCCTCATCCGTATCATTTACATTGGTGATGGCGACATTCACAAGTACATGGCTGGATTATTATTTGACGGGGTTTATATAGGAATTTTGATGCCTTTAGAATAGCTGTGTACAAGATTTATAAAAACTAGATGCATAGAGTCAGTATGAGTCTCGAGAAAGTCTCGAGAAAAAGTTCATGAACTACTTTTCTCCCAACAGGGTTCAGAACACAAATAAATGCTATGATTGTGGTAGATATTTCCCGATGTGCATTGAATACACTTATAATCGAGAATGCTTAATCCCACAACCACCTTCACTATGCCTAAATTTTAAAAATTTGCCACACCAAAACATTCTCCACAGAATCGTTAAATATCGCAAGCTCTGAAACTTGTAAATAAGACCTGTCCAGTACCGAACAGCCTGGACTTCTTTTCACATAAACATCCCGCAAACAACAGTTTACACCAACAGTGGCCGTGAACCTCTCGCTCCCGACCTATGGAAAGCCTCGAGGCACAAAATTAGGGCCCTTCTCAGAGCAAAAATAGTTCTTCCTGAGGAAACTAATATAGTCTTGCCCAACATCAATGAATGACGGTTCTCAATCTATTGTCAACTCCCGAATACATGGGTACTGTGTATATTAATTCAGTATATACATTCTATCCAGTAGCTTAATGATGGATACGTGTGGAATGTCCACAACAGCCAACAACATCCAAAATATTTTGCATTCATTTTCCCAACGCCGTACGTGGTGCGTAGTGACGGGTTTCTACACCTGTTAGAGAAAATGTGCAGATTCCTCCGCAACCTCCGCCATATTTTGTAGCTGATACCCTGACGCGAGCCCCTTCAAAAACCGACCCTACTACTTTAATGATTTACGCATTAACACATGGCCCGAAACCCTCGCCTCATTATTCCGAAGACATTGCCTGTGGTCACCTTGAATTCTCACCCTTCCGCGTATAAGAATGAACTCAAAACCAAAACCAGCCTAGTTCCGCATTCGTACGCAGAAGCAGGGGGCTCCAGAGATAGGCCTTTACGCGAGTAAGCGGTGCCACCACCTCCACAAGTATTTACTGTGCTAGAGATGACGGCACAAATAAGTGAACTACAAAACAAACATCCCTGAATATTAAACCAACACTTTTCTGGTATTGCCCCATGGGTACACTTGATTTCTGACAAACTTCTTCAACCGCTTTTATCTGTTCAAAACTTCAAAGCAATTATTGTTCTTTCTTCTTGGACGAAATATACCTGGCTTCAGATGTTCATCCATTACCTTCTCTATACCTCTACTCAAAGCATATTTTGAGGATACCTTCTTCAAGAACGAGGCAGGCGTGTTGAGTATACCCCCATGGCACTATACTATAGCTGACCAGATACTGAATGAGAAGAGGGTAAATTTTATATATACACCACATACTCTCGAACGACATTTAACAACACACCCATCACCTGGTGTGCCAAATCCTGTTCCTCAGGAGTCGAATTCAGTCATGACATTTACGAGTCAGCAGGCACCTGCTGCTTCTAAAGTATCTCTTTAAAATACAGAGACTGGAGGTGCTATACAGAAAATCTTGCCTACAAGACCATCTGCTAGTTCCCAAACAGGGAAGCGTACTTGGGAGTTGGGCTAAAATAAAGCCAATATCACAGGGTCCCAGTGATAATACAGGTTTGATACCTCAAAAGTTGTTGCCAAATGGGTTCCATGAGAACCTCGCGCCCGAGTCCACAACATCGGCACCTTCGATACTGCATCCTGCCTCAACTCTACTATTTCTTCAAAGGCTTTTCCAGGGTTGGTTGCTACTGCTACCTCGCAAACTCATCCTGAAGTAATGAGGTAAGAGGTTTACACTCTCCAAAGTATTGTGAATGTAGCTGTCACAAATGAGCATGAAAGTGAATCGGTCACGTGTTCACCAACTATAAACAAAACAACAAACAGCTCAACCATCACATCTCGACATACTCTCTGAAAAAAAGACATGTATTCAAGAGACAACCCGCAGACCCGTTGGGGTATACTTAAACCAACCCCTTCAAACGTGCGCGTAAACCGGATCTGTAGAGATGACTATCGAACAAACCCGAGAGAAATTCTCACCGCTACTTATAAAAGTCCAATGACGTGCCATCTCCCACATGTTGTCCTGGACTTCATTTGGGAAACACAAATTGACAGAGGTCATCCACGTTCTCGTCGAATTCGGCGCATGCTGCACGATCCAGCGGACTTTTGAAAATGAGCTTCTACCTAAAGCTCCTAAATAATAGCCCAAGTTATTCGTCACAAGATGCTGAACCCGGTCATAAAATGGGCCCTCTAACACAACCTGACCGTGCTACTCGTCTTGGTAAGGTACACCACCTTGACTATAGGCCATGCATGAGACTTCGCGCGGTTGTAAGTACATGCTCCTCTGTATTGATGTGTACACTCGACAAGTAGATTATGCCCCATTTCGGAAACGGCATACAATATGCAATTGAATGCTCAAACAGCAACTTCAACATTTTTCAACTGCTCGAAATTTTTTGGGACCCTTCTACTCTAAGGAGTATATCGACTGGTGTAAATCTCAGTACCACTTTGCCATTACGGATGAGCACCGTAGCAACGGACTTGTAGAGAAGAACATAGATGATTTACTAGTATGAGTTGAACGTATTGATATATATGGTACTTGGGGCATGAAAGCATGGAAGTTCGGACGTAACATAAGTTCAAGCGCACATACCATTACAAATGTATCTCCATATATGCTATTCACGGGTACCATACTTCCTTCAAGAAAGTAGGACATATAATTAATGACTCAATCGATCCTACGAAAGAACCTGCTACACTAGTACCACAATCAACGGACCTTTAAGACATACGAGTCTCAAGCTGTACAGGCCAAGAAACATCGATATGGCGCCACAGTGATTACCGTTGGACGCATGTACCACAAAATTAGATCAATTTTTTATGCTACACGTTGGAGTGACCCTGCGGTTGTTATGGACCAACAGCCCCCAGCGATGCACCTTATTAAAGATTGTACAACAGGCAAGATTCATCGGTCTATTCTCAAAGGCTATCATGAACCCATCAGAAACTTAGCTCCTGCCATACGAGGAACTCGTGATAACTTCACCAACACACGCTTTACACTTATTACGGAGTAGGAGAGTTCCCACTTTGCTTCAGCATTTAATGATTGGCAAGCCGCGATTCAATTCTCTACAAGCCGGATACTGTTTTCGAAAGTACTTTGCTCTTGCCCATACCAAGAAGCACAAGGAACCCATCGCGCAAACGCGATCTCAAGTTCTTTAAGGATGATTTGGATAAGACTCGATAATTCCGCCTTGAGTTAGGACTAACTTGCGGTTACTCCTTAGTGAATAACTCCGTCTATTGTGAAATTCAGCTCCTCGATTGGAAGACGAAGTATGGGTCACTATTCCAACCCAAAAGCATTCTGCCGCTAAAGACTGTTCGTGTGTCATACCTTTTAAAGCCGATTGAAACCCACCTATGATCTTTCAACTCTTAGTAAGAAGGTGTGTCAGTTAAGAATTTTAGCTTAGAAAGCGCCGACGAACCCTAAGTTTCTACACAGGAAAGGCTAACTAGATATATAAAGCTAAGGCTCGTCATCGTAGCACTCACTCTATATTTGTCACGTTACAACCTACTAGATTGATTTATTGAGACTAAAGTACAAACATACCAGCGAGTCTTTACAAACCCATCCAAAACCAATATATTTTCAATATGTACCTTCAACGTTAATATGAAACCAAACCCCTCTACCCTTTGCTGAATCATTTCAATCGACTTTATATTTTGATCCTTATTGGTCGTACAAAATTGCATATGAATAATGAGTTAATGGCAGCTATGCATCAGTGCACACACTACCCAAGACTGCTATTAGACTGGTCACACAACAATTGCACACGGGAAGGACAACAGTGGAACACGACTTGGGTACTCAGGCGGAATTTACGACACAGACATAGCGTGCAAAACATATGCCCATGCACAGGTTACGGCGGTAGATATGAAGTATTTGGCTTCGCATGATATGCGATCGATTGTTGAGTACACACCCTACTCAGGACTACTATTGGCCCGATAGTACAGCAAGCGCACACGACGAAAGTTCGTTCAGGAGGACAGTGAGGCACGACCTGGGTACTCAGGCGGGGAACATATCATGCAAAACTTATGCACACGCACAGATAACGGCGGTAGCTATAATAATTGAGAGATGCGACCAACGTCTATTGGCTTGATATCACAGCAAGTACACACAATGTATCAGCTCATTCAAGAGGACAGTGAGACTCGAGCTGGATACTCTAAGGAGAGATACAACATTACGTAGTATGCAAAACATATACACATGCACATGTAACGGCGTGCGATAGATAAAATACTTGGATTCGCATGAGATGCAACGGATTATGATGAGTTATATAATTCGATGGCAGGAGGTATCGAAGACTATTCCATATCCACATCAGTGCCTTGCTTGGAATCCATATTTACAAACGGCACAGCGCCAATGTCACAGACTCTCACATCCTAGCGCTGAAGCAATCACATGGTAGTTCGTGGACAACATTTGCCGCTCGAAAACGCACAGCTCGATGTGGACAGACAAGGCAATGATACCGTCATGATGACGATACCACCGCGCAGTGCATAGTCTATTGAACGTGCGCTTAGAGTGTTGTGAAGATCATTGGATACGGAAAAAAGGCCATCCGAAGAGCTGCAATCACAGAATCCCAACTTAAGTGTACACCACTGTAGACTTGGTAAGCTGTGAAAATTGTCTTTATATGTCACATATGCACAGCGGCGAGTGACAGACACAAGCCACGGGAGGCTTTGTCGGTAACGTTAATTCATCATCCACCTCGGTTTGCAGGGACAGTCTATTCATCATATCTAGAGCCTTGGTATTAGGTGCTATTCCTGCGCGCGTGGTAGGGCTCTTGGAAGGACTCGGCTGCTGGGAGTAATGGTTGGTGAATACAGAGGATATCGTAGGTATATGTTGAAGTTAATATCTGGCTACGTGTATTGTGAGTGTCATTGACTGGCGTGCGTATTGTGACAGCAGCATTAGTGGATTTGCAGGGTACTTACTAGATGTGAAACTTTACTACACATGGGAGACTTCTAGTAAATGCAGCTGCTGGGAGTATAGTTGCACTAAGATCACAAGACAAGACACGGCAATCGATCAAGATAATAAGCTTCCAGAGATACGTGTACAAAGGTACATTTGCATATTAATGTATGGGACAATAAGCAATCGAATTATGCTCGCGAGTGAGAGTGCCCGTTCTGGGTCTCACTATATCAGAATTCATGCGTGTATATATTGCTCAAACTATTGTGATATGTATAATGATTGATAGTCATTACATTGCTATATGCATGTCTATATGTTGGCACATTAGTCCTTTTAAAATGTTGATCGTACCGCTCTACGATAACAGTGGTGACAACTACGCACTGTCTCAAATTTTACACAAAAAAACACACGCAATCTGCAATAGTAAACTCGATTTTGAACTCGTACATACTGCTTCACTCCGTGAACGCACATCGAAGATATTGTTCACGGGGTTTTTTTTCGCTCCCTGTGCGGCAGCAGATGTGGATGTCTTCACTTCCCTATCCGTCGTCATGACAACTGGGATGGGCGCATCCATGGGATGCACTCCATTGGTGCTCGCGCTTCGGGGAATTGATGGACTACTACTACCGTGTGCATTGCTATTACTTAAACTACTGTGTCGCTGTGTGTGTGTGTGTGTGTCGGCAACCATACTCCTGTTCCGAGATCCATCCACCCCTATTTTTTGCGCGACCGTCTTATTACCGCCACATAGAGGCGAGGCTACTCTGCCATTCCCCTCCGAGCCACTGTCAAATTGCGCCTCGTTCGTGACTCTGCACTGGGTACTCCGTGCTTGGTCCATAGACCGTGGTGCTCTCACGGGGTTTGCGTGCTCCGATGCTGGTACATCTTTAACTATGTTCTCTGTATTTTCCTTATTACTTGTTGTAGGGCCGGTAACTGCGGCTGTGGCTGTGATGAATGACGGGATACTGTGTGGGGCCGATTGGCATATCTGCAACACCTCTGCGGCAAGGTCGAGGTCTACATTTTCTAATTGCTTGATCATCTCCTCCTCGAGCTGATACAATGAAGGACGAAAAGATACCTAACTTATGAGAATGACTATCGCAAAGTAAGAGAATTGAAGTCATGAGTAAACATACCATCCCAGAGTTTGAGGAGTACTGTTGATGGGTGCTTGATAATCAAAGTGAGATCTAGATATAGCCAGAGATAATTCACCTGCGACAGTAGGTGGAGAATTGAAGTTGAACATAGCAATCTCATTATGGTCAACCAGATACCTGATCAGTACACCTATATAGCGAAAGAAAGGTCAATTTGCGCTCTTTCTCACATGTGTGAATACCCTGGTGCGATTATATGTTTATGCCTTTTTCGTCCAAAAAGAGCTTATACAAGTCATAACCAGTCGGGCGATATCGCACACACACGCATCCATGCGTTTGTATGCTACTAAGCATCAACACCCCCAGAAAATCTCTTTCCTTGGGATATCTCAAAACCATAGAGAGTGTGTACTCGCATGCCTCACAAGAACATACCCTATACAAGTTCGTCAAATCCGCTTTCCTAGTTTTCATCAACCCATTTGTTGCATTCAATACTTGTCTATCCGTTTTATCCACCAGCGATTCTTTTCTGTGTGGATACACCTCCTCACAGGCCATATATGACTCGCGCGACGCATCGGCCCACCGACTATACAGCGCTGACCAGAACTCGAGCGCTTGACATCCCAGCATAGGTAAGGCAGCCTCTGCCTGAAATCTATAACACGGGTTAGTGTAGGTATCTGGATCCACCCCGATCTCCCCCCAAAAGTCGTCCTCCGTTCCGAACTGGCTTGTGTGACGCTCTCGATTGTTGTCGCACGAGAAGGGCCCGGTTGGATTCGGACTGCACACGATGTGTAGCACAAGGGTCCGCAAAAGAAGGTCTGTGTACTCGTATTTGGCGGGGAATTGCCTGGCCATCTGTGCGAGACAGTCTATAAATAGCAAGAATTGCGGCCCATCACCCTGCCGCCTGGGTGTGCCGTGACTCTTGCGTATAGTGCAGAACGGATACCCAAACGAAATCCATTCTTTCTGTATGAGTAAGCGGAGGCCTTGGATCGTTCGGTAATATGGGTCTAACATTACCTGTGCAATACATATGTAGGGGATATATAGGGCTTACGTTGGATTGGCCGAGAAAACAAACCATATAATTACGAGAACTAGTCGAATTCGCTCGCTCGAGTAGATGCAAATGGGGATCAATACCAAAGACAATTAAATTGTACGATCAAGAAATACGTACACGCACTCACAGACAGTTCTAGACCCACTATAAACTTCTAAAAGTAGACAAAATAAGAAACACAATCACGAAAAAAAGCACATACAGAACAAACAGACATAATCGCCAATAGGTGCCCAAATAAATACTGCAAACACACGTCCCTACCCACACTTGGGCACACGCTCTCAGTAAAACTAGACACTCGAACACCGACAGTAGCACGTACCTGCACCAGTGACGATACCACGCCCACACTCCCCCACCCATTGTCGTCTTGCAGCATGCACGTCCTGCCCTCCACCTCCACCTTCTTCACCACAAACACAGCGCTTTGCAGTGCGTTCTGCACATGCCGCATCCACCCACTGGCCTCCAGCTTGTACAGCCAATTGGATGTGCTCTGCGATCCGTCGCTGCACACGGCCCTGAGCTTCTCGTAGCTCTCCAGTAACTCTGCTGAGGTGCCCAAGTTCAGATGCACCAGCGCTGATCCTACATACCAACTCTCGTCACCTACACCCCCGCCGGTTACTATAGAGGCATTCTTCGCGTCTTTGGCGGACCGAGTGTCCAGGATATAGTACCGCACTGCCGCGGCCGGATGTGTTCCGGTCCTGTTTTGCGATGTGTGTAGGAAATCTGAGCCCGTTGGAGAATCCAGCCTTGGTCCCGGGCCACCTGTACATTCAAATTTGAAACGCAAGATGTCAGATACGTAGATATTCTCAGGCGCACTGCAAGAGCTCACACTGTACTAGGGCCAATTCATATGTTCTTAGGAATACGTGTGTGCACATACATACAGATACACACTCACAAACCCAAATTTGGGGGTTGAATAGTGTTCGATATTAATAGGGTTCAGTCAAATTAGTACACTTCCAACAAACATTCAACACATGCGCAATCGAGAAGCACAGCCTTACAATATATTTGAAAAGATGTCGGAGACATATGTATATACGTGGATGCAAAGCTACAACCGCATACAAACCACAATCAAATAGGAGATACAATTCATGGAGAACCTTAAAATCCCACTCTTCACTACTTCAGTCAAACTGTTCTTCTCGACTATACAACCACCTCCTCACGCATATAAAGCACTCCGAGGGCAAATACACCACTCAGCCGCTCATACCATTAGAGGGCGACGCAAAGTTACTCAACGCCAATGAGAACGAGCTCGCAGCGGCCGCCATGAACCCAGTCGCGGTGCTTCCCAGGCTATTGGATATACCCCCACCAATACTATCCGACATACCATACGAATAACTATCTGGCTCAGACACGTCGCGTGCTTCCATGGGCAAATCCTCATAGTGCGCTTTATACCCCTCCATACATAACGCTTGTACGTAGTGCTCGTCCCTGTGTTCGCGTCGACGCTTGGACCCGCAACCCACCATAGGTTGGCTCGCACGCACCAGTAGAGAACCTAAGAGCGTAGTTGTCGTTGTACGTGTACAAGAGTTTAGTGTAACCTTATCACACCCATAAGAACGACCAAGCAATATCGATGTATGCACGCTAATAAACTCTTGTCATCATAACATCCTGAGGCGATGGAGCATGTATGTCACGAAGTCATCTTGGGAAATACCTGTTTTAGGGTGTCGATAGCAAACCACAGGAATTCGACCATGCTTGCGAAATTGGGCGACGCTTTCCAGGTCTTTGTCGTTGATTATTGTGGGCACAACCAATCTCTGTATGTGCGTACGAGTATCAAAATAAATAAGTACTAGTTCGATAATAGTCCAAGCATACCAATCTCCATTCGTACAGCCATAAATCAACTGAGTTTGAATAATGCTGAAGGGATTTCGTTTTATGGCCCCATGGAAGCAGAAACATCATGCACACGCACCTCAACCCCAGGAAATAGGATATGCCAGCGTTGGAGTCATATACAGAAACAGCGGAAACATGAATATCACAAGCAACCAGCGTCCAGGTGCTATAGAAAGCCACTAAACAATATGAACGCACATCGTGGCAACAATCAAATACTGCAATCACACACAAAAACACACAAACACACAGACACACATATATATGCAGACTTACATACATACATAGACACAGACACAGAGACACAGACACATACACACACAGGTATATATATACGTATATATACATTCACACACACTCACAGAAACACCCATATATATATACATATATATATGCAGACTTACTCACATATATTCCTACATACATACATACATACATACACACAGACAAAGACACACAGTCACAAACACGGATATATATATATATATATATATATATATATATATAATAATATATAACACACACACACACACACACACACAGATATATATATATATATATATATATAATATATGTATATATATATATATATATATATATATATATCCACACATATGTCTCCTTGTCCATTGTTCTTTTAGTACATCGCGAGCACCGCACAGTGACACAGACCTTCGGGTACGATGGACACATTGAGTAGTTTTCGTTAGCTTCGGATATCCGAAGTCTGCTGTCAACATCGAAAGAAGCACCCATACGACTGAGTTCAGCCACTAGCAAATCCGGCTCCGCTAGAACAGATGCGAAGAATCAAGCAGGAAATCGATTTTAAATATGAATGTGCGTTCTGCTAGTTATGGAAGTGACGAAAAAACAAGTTAAATCGACATAAAACATGGAGAAGTGCATTTCTAGATACTTTGCAGATGAAAAATGTAAATATACAGATTTGAATAAGTGAGAGCTATGCTAGATATAATGGTGGAGAAGCAAGCAATTATTCAGATATGAACTAGGAATGTGCAATGTTTTATAACCAGAGACGATCACAACGGGATTTCGATGTGGGAGTGTTGCATGCAGGTGATGAAGTACTCAAACATATCGACAAGAAGCAAACATCCTTGACGTAGTTCTGTGCATCCAGCTATGATTATCCGTACAACAAATGAGATCAATCACACACTGCTGAAGCAACGAGCACCACCTTCAAGAGTGACAGCTAGAAGCGTCAACTGTAGGAACATCCCATAGCAGTGGTTTAGGTCACCGGAAGCATACCGTTTGGATGTTGAATCGCACGTGTATCTGACGGCAGACACAGCATAAGACTAACTGCAGTTTCACATGAATACACAGGACTTATATCTGGTTCGACTGTACCACTCGAAGGACTTCGATATAGAGACTTCCACCGAACCCAACCAGTATAAGACGAGACATACAATCAGAAAATCCTTCCATGCCTAATCGAACAGCAAATCAAACGCACAGCACAGCTCACGAAAAAGACGTCCTCTTGGGTTCCTATACCAATCTGTTACAATACCCTTATTCATCCTTTCCTGTCCAATCGCCGCCGGGCGTGGGGGATCGTCAATCACTCCCAGTTGATCAATCCTGCCCACCAACCATTCGATATCAATATCAATCAGTATCTGGAACTGCAGTTGCAGGAAGTCACGTAGCACAATGTTGAATACATTCTGCCTCGAATCTAGGTAGCCCGTAACTCTCACTGCCTTTTGAATGCTGGTCCCTGCAAGCTGTGTTTACCAAGTTTTCAAGCTGTCTTAGTGTTGAGTGGCATTGATCGAGTAGGAAAACGATCATACGGTCCTGAAAACACTTGTAGATGTATTTATCTCAAATGAACAATGGCAATGGTGTTCAAAATACAAAAGCATATGTTTATATATATTTATAGTGTACATACATACTTTTGAAAATATACATTGTCGATTAAGTATTCAATTCAACACTTGCAGCTAAAACATCAAATCATACGGTCTACACTTGCTCACATATGCAAGCAAATACAATGAATAGGTAGATATATCATTATACATCTATATAAAACCAAAACGTATACACATATATACATACAATCATACAAATGCTCACACACACACACACACACACACACACACACACACACACACACACACACATATATATATATATATATATATAATACATACTATAATATATATATATATATATATATCATACACACAGACACACATAGACACACACACACATATATATATATATGTATAGATATAAATATACATATACATACACACACGCACATACACACACACATATGTATATATATATATATAATGTATATATATATATATATATATATATGTATATAATATATATATATATATACTTACGTATACATACACATATATACATACTTATATATATATATATATATATATATATATATATATATATATATATATATATATATATATATAAATATAACACTATATATATATACGTATATACGTATATATGTATATATATACATACACACAGACACACAGACACACAGACATATATATATCCATATCCATATCCCTATCCATATCCATATCCATATATATATATATATACATACACACACACATATATATATATATATATATATAAGCAATTGAAAATCCTACTATATATTTCTATCCATATTGGGAACCAAATATATGTAAATATACCTAAGGCCAGCAGGTACCCACTTGCTATGTGATAGGATAATATGGAAACTATCATTTATGTGTTTTCAGACGAGCAAGTAGTGGTTTTTATCTGGTGAAACCGCACAAGCGACTTCATAGATTTTATGTAGAACCATGTTACAACATCAGTTAAAAAGCCCACAGCCAGTATGTGATTAAAAAGTGCATATACAGCCAGGGCAAGATACATGTAGCACACAGCTCCCCAAAATATGACCGCGAAAAGGAAAACATGATGAGTTTTTCTACACAGGAGAGCAGCCAGTGTCCCTTTGAAGAATTGGGATTCCAGAAATATTACCAGTTCTGAAATTCATGTTATATATATATATATATATATAATATGGATATATTACACTCCTATGCATTCACGATTGAAGCTTGCTGCCACAATATAAGAACAACTGCCATTTTTTGCAGAGCGGTGTATCATATTCTTTTGTGGTATGATTCGAAAAGATGTGGTTTGCATGATTTGATGTAATCTTAAGTGCAGCCTTGACCATAATACAACAAATTATACGTACGGGTTTTCCTTCGTCTCTCACATTAATACTGCATACGTTCACCAAGCCACCATTCAGGTAATTTTCTATACAAAACTTTACGAACATAACACAAAAGTGCATACCTACATGGGTTGAGATTCAGCGCTATACATAATATCTAAATCGCTGAGATACACAAACCACGCATATGCATATACCTGTGTAGGTTGAATATACACAATATTGGCATTGTCGCGATAGTTAAATAGCACGTACACATACAAACACAAGCACAAATATATGCACAGTGCAGGACCCAGCGCCACACACCCTATCCATATAGTCGAGATCGATATATAACACGTAAACATATAAGCATATAAACACCCGCAACGTTCGAGATTCTGTACTGCACACAAATTCGTACTCTATCGCGGCCAATAGATATATTTAAACAAGCGGCTAATAGATATAATTAAACAAGCATATAAACATCGACTTGCACGGCGCGAGCTCCCATGTTGTATACAAGATCCGTGTTGCGAGATAGAAAATAAATAACACGTGATAATATAAATATTCAAACTTATACCTGCACAGTTCGAGATCCAGTGTTGTACACAATATTTGGCTTATCGAAGTACAGGTGCCCTGTAACTGATGTGCCGTCGGGATGGTACAACCGAGCTGGTAATCCCGGGGCATGGTAGAATGCGTGGTCACCCCTATAATCCATGCTGTGTGATTTTATACTATAAGACTATATAAAGAGAAGCCTTAGAAGTACACAGGCGAGATAACCTTATCATTTAGAAAAGGTTTGCATCGAAATTTGTGATTTGAGATATTTACGTCAATATGCATCTCCTAAAATTATTATTTTCACAAGCTTTTGTTATTTATATATACTATAGAGAGATGTACCGCAAATTATGTACATGTTGTTGTTGATTTTTGGTATTAGGCGCATCATGTGAAAATGGGCATACTATACGAGCACTACTGTCTTATTTCTGTGAGCGTGCCAAGCCGTGCAAAGCCTCAGCCTGTACAAGCACCTTGGACCTTAAAGGACCTCAAAACGTTGTTTATTTATTTATTTTGATACATGGTCACAGGACCTTTCTCACATATAGCAAGTGCAATGAAAATCGCAGATTGCAGGTTCTTTTATTCAACAAGTCTGGGTATCCTGAAATACATACGTGTATGTGATTTTTATTCATCAAGTCTGGGTATCCTGAAATACATGCGTGTGTGAGAGTTTTATTCATCAAGTCTGGGTATCCTGAAATACATACGTGTATGTGATTTTTCAGTGTCTACACTCCTTATTCTCCACACTTGCGCCTATGTATCGATCACGCCCCAGACGCGCAACATCGTAATCACACATATGAAAAAATCAC